CTGTGCTGACCATCAGCCAGCTTTCTTCTGTCCGTCTTTGCCTGCTGCCGCCACTGCTTCCATGTAAGGGCAGTTTTCCACAATGAACAACAAATCGGAGCGATTATCACTGCCTCTCGCTTTTATAGCCATTGCAGTGGAACACTAAGCATAGTTCATAGAGGTGCATATGCAAAATTTGCAGCCACTTTTTGTTGAACCACTCATTTATTTATTTCTTTTGCATCATTTTACATAAATCATGCAAAAATGAGTAATTTGTGCAAAAATATGCCAGCGAGTTAAAGTACTCTCCAACCAAAGCCAGTTTATTGCTTTATCAGAGCTATTTTGTCGAAAGTTCACACTTTTAAGGTTGCTCACAAACAAGCTGGTGGCGGAACCTAGGCAGTGTCGAAATTGTCAAACTCGAGGAAAATTCTGCAGAGAAACTTGAGCGGGGGGAGGGGGGACCATCACGAAGGCGTGTTTAGCTTCTTTTCACTTGCGTGTTTAGCTTCTTTTCACCTGTAATTATTCAAATTCCCTCCATACTTTTGTACTAACATGTGTATATTTTCGGGTCCTGTTGAATTCAAGTCATTCCTGTTGCTCAATGTCTCTGAATTCAGATGCAAAGCCACAAAATACCAAAAAATTTTCAATACAGGGATCTGCAGAGGCCTTAAACCTATAACACAAATACATGTACAAGTCGGAAAAAATTTTTCTTACAAAACAAAGAAAACATTAAGTAACAATATAAGTGAAACAGGAAAAACAGGTTGTTAAAGTAACAAAAAATATAAAAGGAGCAACAACAGCCGACTTGTTTTAAAGCATTAACAGGCGATTCACTTTAAAGCAGAGAAAGAGGTACAGAGGATACAGGAATGTGGTGGGCAGTGATTATTCATTCACTCCAATTAGCTGTTTCATTCGCGCTAAATTTAAGTATTCAACTTCCGACCAATGCAGTCGCGGACTGAAATAATTTCGAAAAATTTGAGGGCAGAAAAAGCCCCTCAATTTCATTGATAAATCCACTATGATCATTGGAAATCCACTTGCAATTATTAACAACTGATGGCAGTTGCCTCTTTTGAGTCCTTTTGCTTTTTAAAAAGACTGAAAAACGGAGGAAATCCTCACAACATTAAAATTTTCAGAGAGATTCCTCTTTGGCTTCCATCCTTCTCTTTTTCTTGCATACCACTTCTTCGTCCTCGTCATCCGGTGGTTTTTCACAACGTAGCACAAACTCTCGTATGCAGTTTCCAAATTGCAGCTTGTCATTCTCATTTAATTCCCTGCGCCTGCAAAAATAAGAGTTCTTAAAAGAAAATTTTTCCCGCGGGTGTTAGCTGTAGAAAGCTTAATGAAAACATGCAAGACACGAGCACAGAATTTTATACTTTTAATTTATTCTCAAGTACACGGGTTACCAGTGCATGTATTCCACATTAGTGACGCTACTGCGACCTTTTCATGTGGCTCCTGAGCACAGCTATGCCAAGTCCTTCAATCCTAGGCTGCACACCTCCCCTTAGAACCGAGTGCCTGTTCAGTGAACGTGCGTAATTTCTTTGGGTGTTGGTTACTTTGCCGCGGAGTGCCACAAACAGAACAGAAAATCAGAAGCTTGGGGGAAAAATTTCTGGTGAATTGTGGAAATTTACCGCCAAGGTCTGACAGATTCCCTGTTCACGTAGGTCCCATTATAAGTGCCAAAATCGATGATGTACGGGCGAATGAATTCTACATCCTCGTGATTTATATATTTCATCGTGCGACAAAACTGTATTACTGCATGTTGTGTCCAAACACCCGGATGATCCAGCACAATATCGGCGGTTTCACTGTCACGCCCAATTAGATACGCGGAATGACGATCAATATTGATTACTGGCAGTGCTTTGTCCCACTGAAATCACAAGAAAACGTACTTAAAAAGTTCACTGTAGCTGATGTGACCAAATTCTAAAATGCTTTTGCCGTATCAATTTGTAAAACAAAAGTGCGGGGGAAATTTCCAGCAATTTAAATCAAGTTCCCAAACCATGCAGTACCTCAACGTGATCCGGAGAAGTGCGGCCGTCAAGATAGGCTCAATACACAGCAAACATCTTGGAAAGGCTGCTACAACCTTGTCAAGTTACTTCCATTAACCAAATCGTAAAACTGGTAATGCTGCTTTCAGGAGGCTAGAAGAACTTTAAGATCGTCTGCACACCACGATCAGAGCAATTGAAGAAGTTGCCAGCCACAACGGTAAAAATGCAGACATTCCAAGTATTCAGCTAATAAGCCTAAAATCTTGCAGTTTTGCAAACTGCTGGCCCGATTATCGACGTAGTGCCCTCGATGTTACTGAGGTGTGATTGCCCAGTCTAATGCTGTAGAGTCACCGATGAGCACAATTACTGGTATAAAACCTTTGGATTAATTTTTACTCGGCCAAACCTACCAGTGCAGATTCTTGACGCTACAGAGTTTAATGATGTTCAGCAAAAACACAAGCTAGAACGCACCAGGCGAGCCGGTGCGATCATGCGTTTTTGCATCAAACTTTGAGGTACTCCATC